CCAAACCAGAGACAATTTGTTAAGTCTTCCTATTAAGGAGTATCGTTTTTGGCAATTTGCTACCAACTTAGACGTTGCATGGTAGCAGCCCAGAGCTTTCACCGCCGCTGACTGTCCGAGAAAACTTTTATTGACTTGTGAGTGAGGTTAGATTCTACCAATCTCTCCGCACAGAATTCAATAGCATAGATTTCAGCTTGAAATACAGTCGCATATGCCCCTAGTCAGGTTATTATCTTTTTTTTAAGGACAGAACACAAGCACTACAGGAAAATCTTCAAAGTGCTTGGAGACTGTAGCGATAGTAGCGATTCCCATTGAATTTGAATCCATTTGGAAAAACGTTCCCAAGAAGTTTATTCTACATAAACGCAGTTCTCTAGATGAAAGAGTTCTCAAACACCTCCCGTGAAAGTATCAACAAAAGAAAGGCTATCAAGGTTGCACGTGATGTTTGCGTCTTCAATCAGGCAGTTGGCTCTTTTTTGGAAGCAATCCAGCATTTTCAGGGTAAGTTTGGCTGCAGAACTCCATACATGAGAACAATACTCCGAAGAAGGTCTGATCTGAGCTTTGTGAAGTATCAACAGTTGCTGGTTCGGAACAGTGTTCCAAGCTTTTAAGAAGCAGTCTTTACAACTCCAGCGACATGATTTTGCCAAGGCACATTGGTGTCCAATTTAACCCTCAACAAAGGTATCGAAGCAGAAAGCGAAATTGTCTGACCTGACATTATTTTATCCGGTTAGAAGACATTTATCTTCTTGGAGAAAACCGATGCCTGGGTTTTTGTGGCATTGAATTGAACCTGGTCACTTTCACCCCAATTCGGAATCACTTCTAGATCCTCATTAAGATATGCAACCTCCTGTTGCCGGAGAAGATGAGCTTCCGTAGCCGACGCCTGGAATCCAAATGGAATAATGAGATAAGTGTGCTGTCGTCAGCTAAGCAATGAGTTGGATTCTCGATTTAGCATTCACTATTTCGGTTCAAATACTCAAATTTGTATAGTGGTGTATATTATAAGATATTTGTGAATCATCGTGAAGTATCAGTTCAGTGATATTTTCGATATTGTCAATTTTTTATTGTTTCGCTTACCGATTTCGTAACAACAATAATATTTCCACTTCCAAAAAATGATTAGTGAATACTGATTGATCATTTTGGCTACAAATGACAGATAATACATGGAAGTATAAATGATTCAACTATTTTATGGTCGTGGAAAAATTATCTGTTAAAACTACAACACAAAGCTCTGGGTCATGTGACAGTTGGTCGGAAAATCAAAAAAATACGATTTTTTGGATAAATGAACGCTCCGCTGCGCAAAGGGATGGCACCATAATGAATTTTAGCCATCGATATGAGTTGCATCGCGGTCGAGCGGACGCGCCAGGGTGTGAAATTGGGGTTGCACAATGCCAGGCAAAGTGTGTCCTCCCGACCACCCCGCTCCAACTTTATATCGGATAAAGTACTATTCTGCCAGCGCAGCATCATATAAAAATAAATACAGGCTTATAGAGGACTTTGGGACATCGAATTACTCGAATATACGATCCAACAAAAACTAATGTGAAGTTCAGTAGCGCCGAAAGGGGAATCAATTTTATGATATTTATAGCATTTATAGCATTTTATGATATATAGCATTGATATTTATAGTACAAGGTAACTTTTTCGTTCATTAAAAATGTAGTAGAGTAAAGCACGAATGTTTAGTCCAAAATAAATGGAAAAATTGCCGTTCCTTACAGATCCCACGAAGATATAACGGGTGGGCCAATTTTATGTCCCGGCTTATATTCCTGGCGGGTTGGCTGCCCTTGTTCATCTTCCACTGCCTGAACCACTGTGTATTCTGTTTTTGTAAGTGCATTGGCTTGGGATGAGAAGGTTGAGCAAACCAGCCATCAAATGCCTGCTTCCACGTAGTCCCGCTGGATACGGGAATGACAGAATCACTTGGTGGTTTTGTTATTCCCTAACTGAATGGCATCCTAACGATGGCTTCATCCTAAGGTATGTGTATCCGTGCCAAGAGGATGAATGACACTGAGCCTATCAGCTCTCTCCACGGATCCTTCGGGATACCGGGCGCCCTCTCGTAGTAGCATCGCCTTGTCACGGTAATGCGGGGCTCTGCCGTAATTGATTTTCTTTCCCTAGTTACTCGTGGGACGTTTATGGACAGAGCAAACTCAAAAATTCTTTCTGACGCTGCGTCCTCAGAGGAGATGTCGAGCTTACGACTCCAACTGACCTCTCTGTAAATTTAGATAAGGAGCGAGAGCTTCTCTCCTGATCCAATAACTGAACCTATAAAAAAGGTTTTGTGGTGCAGTCAGGAAACGACTGAGTCGTCTCCTCAAGAGCGGGGCACCTTGTGAAACCGCCTTGCACCAAATTCTTGAGCGGCGAACGCAGAATCTATCTCAGATGGAGGAACAAACCCCCCATGAGCAGGTGAGCAAACATTTGCGCTCAATCGATGATTCACCAGAACCAGAGATGAAAAAGCCCTGCACGGTTGAATGTAAGGCATCTTCAAGTGTAGCTGACGTGCAAAAACCCTCATAACATATTTGTATATTAGGTGCTGCCTGTTAAATAAATAAATAAATAAAATCCGGCACTGGCCTCAACAAACAAACTCAAACTAGACGAGGTAAGAATGTTTGGAGTGGATTTAATGATGGAGGATTATAGGTATTAATTTTTTTTATTGTAATTCAACCGATGAGATATACTTTGATACTACTTACCCGAATAGTTCGAAGGCATTATTCTGTGTGACGAATATATGGTCCTTCAGCAAGATGATGTATCACATTCAAACAGGAAATTATGACAGATATTCCAAATAATCATATACAACTAAAGTGGATCGGTTCCAACAGCTCACGAGAGTAGTCAGTCCTATTGAGATATCTTAAAGATGTTATTTATGCAACACAGCATACATCATAATGATCATGAAGAAGAAGTTTAGGTAGAAAATCAACGAAATCTCGACTTTCAGAAAGGACAAAAACCAAGATAAATACATCTCAGTTCCATACCACCCATATACGAGGAACTTTGAAAGATTTTCAAGGAAATAGGTATGAAGGTGGTTTTTAAAACAAGTCATACACTACAGAGCCTTTTGAGAAGTCCAAAAGACAAAGTCGAGAATTCGGGAAGTCTGGAATTTACGAAATTGAATGTAAGGACTGCGATGCAAAATATTATGGATAGACAAAAAACATCTATTGAAGTAAAATATCAGGGAACACATAGCAAAATATGGAAGTGAACACAAATATGGAAGTGAACACAATAATATTATGAATAACGATGACGGACCCATACCAAAAAGCATACTATATAGCTTGTTAAAATAAAATAATGTTGTTGGGTTTACTGATTACTACAAAAGGACATATTGCAAAAATAAATTTGGAGAGGCAATATTGTGAAATTGATTTTTATATAGCTGAAAACTGTTTTATATAAACGTATATTGTAAAACAATAGATAAGGCAAAATTGTAAAATTAATTTAGGTTGGTATACCTGTATGGGTGGTACGTCTGAATGGTTTACCTGTATGGGATACCTATATAGCATAAATAGGGTTAGCTCGCATTAGTTTCTAGTTTCAATCTTCCTCTTTGAAGATGATCACTTGGTGATCGAAACACGTGTCGAGGTGTTAAAAATGACGATTTGGTGTTGGGGAAAGAACTCCAGTAATATTCTTTACTCAATGACTAATAATTTTACAAGAATTAGGGAATGAACTATATGAAAACGTTGAGCATTATGAAAGAAAATTCTTCCTAATGACTGATAATTTCAATAGAGTCTGGGTATGAATTATTTGGAGACTGAAACATTAGGAGAAAATCACTAATGTCCATATTAGCAAACCTAGCCAAAAGAAAATAAGAATTCCATTCCGTTTATATATTCAGTAGATATTTCGTATTACAAAATATATTAATTAGCAAGCATTCCAGAAGTTTGGGTTTCAAACTTTCTCTAATGCATCATAGTAGTGGTTGAACCCATGTACCTTTGCCGAAAGATGGTTTGCAAATGCGGAATTGGTCTTCACATTCACTACTTCCATGTTCTTTCATTCTTTGGGATAAGATTCTTCCCGTTTCGCCGATGTGAAGTTGTGAGCAAGAACCACAAGTTGATTCATATACTACTGATCTATCCGACATTGAAGTTTTGCCGTTATTGCCTTCAATAAATTTGCTTAAATTATTGTTTGTTTTCTAAACAACGCCCAAGTCGTTCTTTTTAAAAAACCAACGATATTTTTCTACAAATACAAGACATTTACCAGGTCTATCCTACTACGAAAAACGATAATAAGCATCATAGGATTTTGACATACTTCAGTGAACCCATCATGTTAGCTCTTATCCAGATATACTGCAGTGAACCCGCCTTGTCCAGATTTCAAGCACATAAAACGTTGTGTTCCTTGGTTGACACACACCTTCACACTCGTTGCCATCACCGATGAGTACCACAAACTGTATTGTTTGCACCATGTTCTCGTTTTCCATGAACAATAGCCTCAATGCAAAAATCTAATCAATCGTTATCTTTGTTGGTCTATTGAACGAGTGACACTCCTAGCCAGAGAAAGTTTTTCCACGGTGTCCAATCTGGATAATTTTTAGAATAAATTGATTTTCTATTTCTGTCTTTTACATAATTCGTTCTCACATTGTTCAATGAACATTCTTCCTGAAAAAAAATCGCAAAAATAATAAAGGATGGATAATATAGTATTAGATGGTTAGTTATATAAAAAGTGGACACCCTATGAGTAGATAGAAATATTCTAGAGAAATATTAGATAATCAATTGATTTTGTTTGGTCTCCAATCACTCAACGCAATGATTGGTAAATATGAGATATCTGAGTATAACTAATTAGGTAGATAATCTTGACCTCTGCTGTATCCGTTACTCATAGTAAAACGATATCTTCATTCAATGTGAAACTGTAGCGAAATGATTATCCGAATTTGTTTCCTATTCTTACTATATTTAGTAGCAAGTGTTGATAAGATTGAGTGTAGGAAAAAAAGTAAGTGGTTATATATTATTAATAGTCACGAATTAGTTTAACTGAACACGATGAATAAGTTTGAACAAATGAAATGAATTGATTCTTTAGCACTCATTTGAATTCAGAATAGCTGACAATGTATCAAATTGACATTTCCTAGTACATTATCGATTAAAAGAACATAACAAATACATTCAATGAGAATATGATCATCAAATGTTGATTCCTTTTCGAAAAAGTTATATAATAAATGTATATGGAATATATGATGGTTCAATTTTATCCTTATTCCAAGTGAAATTGTGGCATATAAATTTGAAAATTGCTTTGTACTCTATAACGAGATGCAAAGAACCGTGAAGCATTCGTTTGTTTTTTATGGATCACCCTCAATTCTTCATCATACTTGAAAGAAGTACACTCCACCTATTTCTGGAATATGACGATTCTTATACCTACATGCCGTTTAAAAATATTACGAGTTATACAAAAATCAATATCAATTATGAAGTGTTGAACTCCTTCTATGATTCTGATATAACACTGGTTCGATTTTTCCTTTGTGATACTATCGTGTTACTTTTTGATGACTCAAAAAGAATTGAATATCGGCACGTTTTATTCTCAATGATCCAAACCTGACATTTTCCAAGATTCAAGAATGTTTTTTTCTGAAAAATGTAACGATTTCGTTTGAAAATCAACGATATCTAAGAAATATACAATGAATAATGTTTTTGTATATTATTCAGTTATTATTCAGCTAGGGGAAAATCAGGTACAAAAAATTAGTTAACGAGTAGTTTTGAAATGAATCGAAAAAAATATATATTTCATGAACACAAAACTGATAAATGCTAATCACAGACGTGTGTTTCTGGATTATTGGTCTTCATCAGTATATTATAATGGTTAGGTTAGGTTAGGTCCAAAGTGTGTGGCTCACACCTATTCTCACTCGGCCAAACAAATCCAGCTTCTTAACGAAGCCGATTAGTTTGTATGGTGAGTGGTCTTTCAGGTCAGATGGTAAGGCCGGCCGCAAGTTGAGACGCAGGTCCGTGAGGTGACGCAGGAGAGTCACGTTGAATATCTGCGAATCATACAAATGATAGGAACCCCGCCGCAAGTTCCGACGCAGGGTGACATGACGCAGTTTTCACGGTCCGTGACCCTGCGTTTCGCAGTCCTCCTTCCGCGGATTTCTTTAGTGAGTCACGGGGTGTCAAGTGAAATGGAGGAAAAATCAATAGGGGCAGTTATGAATCGCCTCGTTTTGTACGACACAAGCCATGAGGACTATTTGCGAATAAAATAAAAAAGTTCACTATGGGAGGAAGTGGCAAAGGAAAGCGATATGAAGCTAGCAGAAATAATTGATCCAATCTCCTCATCATTTTCTGACTCAGATTCGGAGCTGATATCAATTAAAAGTTCATAAACCAAATCCATTTGAAAATCGAAAGCCAAGAGACATGTCACCTAATAACTGTAGCCTCAAACTGCGTTTCAACTTACGGAGGTCCATTCACCCGCAGTTTTTTTTCATTGTGACTCACCCTGCGTCATCTCACAACCTGCGTCTCAACTTGCGGCCGGCTTTTAGAGTACGGCTCTGCAGCAGGCACAAAGTATATGCTCTGTTAATGAGGAAGTCGGATAGTCAAGTTGCGAAATTCCCACCTTGTTACCCACGACAACCTTCCCATATGAGGGTTTTTGCACGTCAGCTACACCTGACGATGCCTTAGATTCAGTCGTGCAGGGCTTTTTTGCCTCTGGTTTTGGTGAAACCTCACTTGAGCGCTAACGTTTGCTAACCTGCTCATGGGGGGTTAGTTCCCCCACCTGAGACAGATTCTGCGTACGCCGCAGCTCTCGCTCCTGAACTAAATTTACAGGGAGGTCACTTGGAGTCGTTAACTTGACATCCATCTCCTCTGTAGACTCACTCCTGAACTAAATTTACAGTGATGTCCGTTGGAGTCGTAAACTCGACATCCATCTCCTCCGTAGACTCGCTCCTGAACTAAATTTACAGGGAGGTCAATTGGAGTCGTAAACTCGACACCCATCTCCACTGTAGACTCGCTCCTGATCTAAGTTTACAGGGAGGTCAGTTGGAGTCGTAAGCTCGACATCCATCTCCTCTATAGACTCAGTGTCAGAAATAATTTTCAAGTTTATTCTGTCCATAAAAGTCCCACGAGTAGCTAGGGAAAGGAGGTATCTCGAAGGTTCCGTAATGACAGCTGATAGGCTCAGTGTCATTCAGTGTCGGCACGGATACACATGTTATAATGGAGTGCAATGATGTGTGACACTATGAAAAAAGTTACTATCCGATTCATTTTTCGATTCCAGAAGGAAATAATGAGAATTCAAAAGATATTTCACTTTCTATCAACATTTTCGAGAAAAATGGAGTGAACCATATCATCTCAAACCGAAATATATATTTATAATTATCATAGTAATTTTTCAAGTGTTGTTCAGCAGCTGAACAAATTTCACCATTTTTCATCATCAAATTTTGCAAAAAATAGTTTCATAGGTGACTCAATAGTATAATTGCTCTGAATTTGTAAAAATGTCTTCCGCTATCTTGAATAGTAACAACTATGCATGTTTTATTTTTGAGAATGAAATTTAGTTTTTCAATGAATAGTCCAAATGAATATACAAGGTTTTGTTCAGAATTCTTGTGTTGAATCGACTTTCAGTTGAACGGAAAAACATATTCGAATGTTCAATTCCTGAAAATATATTTTATTGAACTCTATCTTTATCCTCCATATGGCATTTCTGTTAAGACAAACTGAATGGCGTTACATTTTCACATTTTCAACATACATATATATCTGAGATTCACCTTATGGACGGTACCTACTAATTTCAATTCATCGCTCCCAGGTTCTACCCTCATAGGTCGTCATACATCTCACCCAAATCCAGTACATCTTTCTTATGGAAGTTCCAGAACTACCACGCGCCGGTCATATATTAGAACAACAACACCTCGGATCCATCATCGAACTACAACTCGGAGACACTATATAACTACAACTCGTAGACACCATATAACTACAACTCCAAGCTATATAACTACAACTCCAGGTAGAAAAAAAATCACTACTCGCAGACGTGCACTTCCAACCAAATCTACAAGAACCACTCACTATCAAACAACTACTCCACGACAACAAAGAACCACTAAGAAAGTTCAGAACAGAACAGATACTTACTTTACCAGACCACCGCCATTCAATCCATTTTTTACTCCATCACAACCAAAAATCACTCACACAAATCCTCCGCCATATAACCCATTTTTCTCTACTACTCGAATAGTTCCAGTATCTAGACAACCTGCTCATAACCCCTTCTTCACATCAACTGCACGCCCACTTAACTCAGTCCTCAATAAAACCACACCAATACCCAGACAACCACCCTACAATCCCTATTTCACATCTTCTATACCGACCGTCTTTTCTAGTTCGAATAAAACTTCTATAAGGAATCCAAATATTTCTCCATCGAATTTTTCTGCTCTTGCAATTCCCGTAGAATTTAATAAAACTTCAGTGACAAAACGACCAACCCACAATCCAACTCCGCCATATAACCCATTTTTCTCTACTACTCGGATTATCCCTGTATCTAGACAACCTCCTTATAACCCCTTTGTCACATCAACTGTACGCCCACTCAATTCAGTCCTCAATAAAACGACACCAATACCTAGACAACCACCTTATAATCCCTATTTTACGTCTACTAGGCCGACAGATTTTTTCACTTCAAATAAAAGTTCTATAACAAAACTAAACAATTCTCACACGAATTTTTCTTCATTTGCAATTCCCGGAGAATTTAATAAGACGTCAGTGACCAAGCGACCAGCCCACAATTCTACCTTTATATCTTCTGGAGGGAAAAATGGAACTTTCATAACAAATCCAAATCCATTTGGAAAAGTTAACACAACTTCACTGAACAATGCACACAATTCTGCCTTAGTTTTTCCTAAACCATCTATTGGAGGATTGAACAAAACCTCATCAGAACAGTTAGGATCACAAACCACTTGGGGTAAGTATTATAAACTTTTTCAAAATTATGCCTAATGTAACCGGACTGGGGAAAGCCTCCGTTACAGATAAATGAGTACCATACATTTCACTCAACTGAAACTTACTCAGTTAAAGTTAGCTGTGTCAATTTGGTTGTTGTAACTTTTTCAATCTGCACCTCCAGAATTTTTTACGGAAAAACAGCATCTTGTTCCACAACCAGACAGCGCTTTTTTGACCTGCTTTGGGTTACCCTAGTGATGCTGAGCTGTACCACGAACGTATTGTTTTCCTCAACTACGCTTGAAGTACAAGCCTGAGTACAAGTTAGCGTAGACAACCTACGAGTAAGATGAACATGGATCCCCATGGCAACTTTTGATAGTATGGGTCTTTTTTGTACATCCTTCACTGCAAACAATAATAATATATTTATTCAACAAATGACAGAGGTAATTATATAATACATAATAATTTAAGCAGGTAAATAGGTAGGTAAGCAGTAGTTAAATGGTTTTGATTATGTTTTTGTACATAATTCACATAGTATTACATCATGAAATGAAATATGAGTGATGTTCCACAAAAACGTATGATTGTCGTGAAAGAATGAAAGAAAATAATGATAGTGAATAATAAAGGATGTTGATGAAAGATCAATTAACGTTTACATATACATACATACGTGTACACACATACACATATATAGATGAAGCTATGTGAGATTTATAGTATCGATACTCTTTCATTGAAGAAAAATTATTCTACAATGAAAACGAAGACCTCTGTAGAACAGTCTTTTGGTCCTATTGTATAATTTCTGAAATCATTCTTTATATCGATTAGTTGATGGGTGAATGATCTAGGAAGGTTTGAAATCCAATTTTTCAGTTCTTTCTTGAATAGGCTTAGCGAGTTGATTGTTTTCACTTCACTGGGAACTGCATTGTATACTCTGGGTTTGAGGAAATATGATGAACGTTGGGATATTGTAGACGGAGGGCACTGCAAGGTGTTTATCTCCTTTCCGAGTATTATGTGCACATAGTAATTTTTAGATCCTTCTTTTTTTTGCTTCACTATCAAGTCGTTCAAAAATAATTGCTTGATATCTAAAACTTTTGCTAGGTGATAAATTCCATCACTGGAATATAATCGATATTTAGAGTGTATTATCTTCAGTATCCATTTCTGGAGTACGTCGAGTTCGTTCATTTGATTATAATCGTAGGTGCCTACGATAATTATCGTAGGCAACTTCCCAAGCTATTATTCCGTACCTCAATTGTGATTCCACCAGTGCCAAGTATTAAATTCTCAAGTATCTTATTTCAAGAAATTTCATGATATCTTTAAACTTTGCTATGAGGCTTCTCAATTTGAAAGTGAACTTTTGTATGTGAGTGTCCCATTTCATGTGACTATCTGAATATACTCCCAAGTATTTTATTTTTTCGATTATGGGTAAAGTGAAGATGTTATTATTGTCGGTGATTGATAGATGTGAATTATCCGGAAAATTGGTTATGGTGACTGAAAACGGAAGACATTTCGTCTCCTACCATTGTTTTATTTTGAGAAAATCTTTCTCGACGCTGCCAAACAACTGTTGCCAATTTCCACCAGAATAGAAGATTGCGGTGTCATCTGCGAAGCTGATTATGTGGCCTGTATCAACATTGTATGAATTATTTAGGTATATGTTGAATAGAATGGGGCGCAGTACTGTACCTTGTGGGACTCCAATTCCACAGTTTCAAAGTGACCGAGTCTGCTGTCAATTTTTACATATTGCTTTTTTCTTTCTAGATAATATTTCATCAGTTTATATATATTGCCTCTCAATTCTGCACATTCAATGGTTTTCAGGAGTTTCTGGTGGCATACTGTGTCAAAAGCTTTTGCTAGATCCACAAATATGCACAAAGAGGGGTAACTTTTTTCGAGCGTTTGAAATATTTTTGTTGTCAATGATTCAATTGCATCATCAGTGGATCTAGACTCCTGGAACCCATATTGGTACGGGGAAAGAATCTTATATTTCTGGAAAAATTTCGATATTCTTACTTTGATTATAGTTTCATGAATTTTTCCAAGATTAGATATCAATAATATAGATCTATAATTGTTACAATCCAGTTTGTCGCCATTTTCATACACCGGTATAAAGTAAAATATTAAGCTGAGATGGTCAGTATCCTTGGCTCAATACCATGTTAGATATGTGTGATAGAGGTTTTGAAATAATATTTACCATGCATTTGAGAGTTTTTGCAAAGGATTATCAAATCCGGGTGCCTTATTATTCTACAAAATCAAATTTTTCACTTCGTTCTCTGAGGTTTCTTCAAGGAACAATGAATTTGGAAGTCGTTTCTCACTTTACAATTCTATATTTGAGATATTTTCCGTGAAGTTTTTACCGATACCTGGGAAATGTTTGACGGAAGTATTCGATATTTCTCCAGCTTCTTTCAAAATAGTACCTGTTTCATTCCATAGTTGTGTTATTTCACATTTTTTATTTTTGTTAGAGCATGCCACTTTTACAGTTTCTCACATTCGTTTACTGTTACTCTCGTTTCTGATTATCTTTTTTTTGTAGTATTCATTCTTTGCTTGTTTCATTATGCCGTTTAATTTATTTCTGTAGTTTTTGAATTGTTGAAATATTACGAGGTTTTCTTTATCACGTTGCCATTCTTCATATATTCCATTACGCGTGTTTTTGGAGGTGATTATTGCTCTTGTGATCCATGTATTTCTTTTAGTGGATACCCTAATTTTGATAACTTTCGTATTATTGATTGATCGAAAGCATTATTGATCCAGATGGCCTATCACAGGTCAGCGTTAGTACACCTTGTATGAGTGGCATCATATTTGCACATAAAATGGATCGCTGTTTTCATTATCAGGCATATCCAGTACATCAGCTTCCTTTTGTAGAAAAATTTTTCTTAGGCTCATTGCCTTCATCCACTTACTTCATAACGATTTTATTTCTTATATTATAGGTATATGTCACAAATTGCTTTCTTTCTGTGACAAAGTTCTTCGCAATCATAATAAACATATCGATTAACTTTTTTACTTCCAATCCTATGGGTAAAAAATATTTTATTGATTCTTTCATTTCACACATATTCCTTTTCAACTTTTCCCGTAGCAATCCAAATTGAAATAGTGAATTGATACATCTATATTCTAGTGAACATTTTTAGGGCAGTGAATACGTGTTTTTACAAGTTTATCTGGCTCACGCTCAAAAAATCTCGAATAATTTTCCCCACATTTCATGAAAATATTCCTTCCGACGAGATTTTACAATTGGGGTTTCACACATGATATGTTGCTTTTCGAAAAAATTGGCGGAGGAGCACTAATTTGATTACTCGATGATAATCAGAAATATCTATTTCAGGTTCTCAGTATCCAGAAAATGGACTTGTTCAAGCAACCAATAGATCATATGGATTTGTTTACCATCCACCAGGTAAGATATTCACTATATCAGTTGCTTCAGGTGGAGGAATTGAATTGTGACCCATTGTCACTTCTCAGTTATTCTCTACCAAGTATTCTCAAAAACTTCGATTTTCCTGAAAGTTTCCATTTATTTTTCACATCTAAAAAAATTTTGCCATGATTTTTTGTATAAATTTTGTATTTTCTTAATCATTTTTCAATTCAGTTGAATTCAGATGATGATGAAATTGAATATAAAGAAAACATCTAATTATGCCGAAAAACTGTGAACAATATGATTTTTATTTCTCTAATTCATACAATTTTGTAGGTCAAAAACGAAACGTCACTTCAAACTTTCGACAACTTCTCCATAATGTTCCACTATCCAATGGCTACATAACGAATCCACCTTATCCAAGTTATAATAGTTTTGGAAACCAATATCCAGGAGGAAGCTACGTCCCTGGTGGTCAATCTCAGTCAAATATTGGACTCACTATCATAAACAATAACGTTCACAACAACAATCATCATGTGGTCTATCCAACTCAACACTATACTGGGTACGGATCACCAGCAAGTGGTGTAACCATAGTCAACAATAATTTCGATCACTATCACAAGTCTCCTATACCACAGTACCATTACACTAGTAGAAATACGGGAAGTACCCTGTTAGGTGCTTTCTTGGGTTACCAGTTGGGAAAAATTTCACGACCAACTTATTATTATTACGGTACATCTATCATGAATGATAAATATGTTCCTGTTTATAACCACTATGAAGTACATCATTATTACCATAATGGAGATAAAGTGCCACAACAGGCAGAAATAACAGCCAATACTATAGTGCCATGTGCTGGAGATAGCGGACTTCTTTGTCCACAAAATACTTCTTCACTCTGTACTAACAACGGAGCAGTAATGTGTGTGTCAAGCAATACAGTTCCTTGTGACAAAGACAAAAATTTGAACTGTGTTAGGAGTTCGGTACCTTGTTCGGGAATTTCGGCAAGGGAATGTATCCAAAGATCAGCCACATCTGTTTATATTCCATGTATATCAACAGCAAAACTATCTGGGATCACTCATTATAACCAAACGTTTGTGGTAACTCAAAATAACTCGGATAGTACTGAATCTTCAGTTTGCGTTACCATTTTGGCACTACCAGCTGAAAATAAACTTGCGAAACCGAAAAAAATCAGAGTTGAAATCAGTATTCCATTTCACTACACAACAAATGATTCTGGAATAGATCCACTGGGTTACTACCTCGGACAACAACTGGAGAAATTGGAATCTCCTAGCTATTTGTATCTCAATTATGATAAGTACTATCGTTATAAAGAAAAATATGATCACTATAACATTCATCATTTTTATCACAACGCAACTATAGTGCCCCGAGTAATGGAAATCAGGCCACATGTAGTGATAGACTGCGCAGGAGATAGCGGCACAATTTGCCCTCAAAATACAAGATCATTATGTATGACAGATGGGGCAGTAGCTTGCGTTACAGACACCGATTCAAAAACTTTCAGTAACGATACTAAAATGAATTATAGTTATATGAATTCTTCGATACCATGTGCAAACAGCACTGATCCCATGTGTTCTAATATCAACACGACACTCCCTATCGTGATACCTTGTATATCCACAGCAAAAATATTTGCAAACATGAGTAATCTGATCAGCACTTTCACAACAAAGAAAGGGGTAACAAAATACTACAATACTTTGGTACTTCAGGTTTCGAATACAACTCCTAATGCAACACATCAAATGATACCAAAACCTCGTCAGTTCTGTGTAGCCGTGTTGCTGACTCCTAGTGAGAAAATCAAGGTGAAAGTTCCACTGAAGAGAAAAGTGACAGGTATAAACAGATCTTATATGGCTGTGCCAACTCACCAATACAAGTTAGAGGCAACTGGGAACAAAACTTTAGGATATTACCTGTCCAATCGTTTGGGGAGACTCAAATATCCCACTTACTACTACATGGTCCAGAAAGAAGCCATCCAGAAATTCGATCATTATTCTGTTCATCATTATCATCAGGGCAAGGAGATAATTCCCATCGAAATGGATTTGTATGCAGAATCTATTTCGGCTTGTTTGGGAGATAGTGGAACCTTTTGTCCAGCGAACACCACCAGCTTGTGTCTGAACGACTCAAGTGTTATGTGTGTGACAGATGTACTATTAACAGAACCATGTGAAAAAACAAAAGGAACCAATTGTGTCAAGTCGACTTTACCATGTTTAGATAATAAGGCACCTAAGTGCCGAAAGGGTGTCAAGAGGGTTCACGTGACGATGCCATGCATGTCTGTTGCTACAGTTTTTGGTGATATTATGTACGTGAACAATACTATTTACACATCATCCAGTAGTGATACACAGTCCTACATGGATATACAACGGATATCAAAGAGAACTGTCAATTCTACTACTCCTTATGATAGAGCTCAACAGTTTTGTATTACCATCATTGTTCTTCCAGCAGAGAGAAAAATTTCAGAAGGAGAAAAGCTTTTGGAGTCTTCGAAAAACGTCTTCCTCAATTTTGCAATGAAAATGTTTGGAATATCATAACATGAATATCGATTTTTTTTCACTGAAAGACTTTTCTCCAGTGCATATAACTTTGTGATGGAGAATAAAATGAAAAAATTCTTCAGCTTGTTAAGTTTGGATGGAACTTTTCGAAAGCTTCAAATATCAAGTAATGAAACAAAAAAATATATTTGGAATATGTACCAGGAACATGAAAATAAAAATGGAGATGTATAGTTTTGTTTTTTTTTCAACATTTCTCACAAGTTTCTCAACCTGGTGGTTTTGTAGTGATTATAATAAAAATGTGAGGATATAACTAGACTTTCAGTTTCATTATGGATATAATCAGATCAGATAGAATAAAAAACTGTCATTCTATCTAATCTCATTGAAAGACTTGACTTCAGAACAAGCTGAAGGATTTTTGAATGAAAAAGTATTGGCCTTCTACTTCTCCATCTTGATACAAGAAATGTGGGAGTCTTCCAGTTTGTGCCCGAAAGTTAATTCTTTGCATGATAAACACATCTCTATACAGAGTTAATTTTTGAAGTTGATTGCTTTCTTCTCTTTCTTGGAAGATTTTCACATTTTTTGTATAAGGATGAATAAGTAGAAAGCCAAAAATATACCCTATGAATTTAAACAAGATTCATTCAGCTGTTATTGAATCAAATAAGAGGATGCATGTTATTTACGCACTATCACGATGACATGGGTGAATTTGACCTATTTCATGACAAAAAGTCGTAATTTTAAAAACGAATTGGGTATTTTTTTCCACAATGTTATCCGTATTTGGTACTGAAGAGCCAACAAGGCAATTGTCTTGCAGCGAAACATCAAGATGGCTACCAGTGAGGAGGACAGAGTTCCATGTAAGTGAAATGTTCTTCTTTCATCAATTATATTGTGTAGGAATCCTGTAAATAATATCTCATTCAATTCCATTGCGAATGTGCGGAATACAAATGGAATAAAAAGATTGTTTTTGTATAATTCAGCGTTCATTTAAAAATATTTGTTTCGACAGTATTTTCTACAGTGTTATTCAATGTTTATATGAAATAAGCTGTTTCGAGATGGTTTTTTCTTCCAGTTTGTGTCTGAAAGTTACTTCTTCGCATGATCTGCATATCTTTATATAGAGTTAATTTTTGAAATTGATTGATTTCCAAATTGTTTCTCTCCTAAAAATATACCCTTTCAATTTAAGCTGAAGTAGTTACAACAAACACTGAAATGTATGGTCCAGCCACACAAACTTAATACAGCCAAAAGTTATTGTTTGCTCAATGACCATACAGGAGTGACTGAAGTCAAAAATAGATAGGGTAGGTCAAAGAAACTTGAATTTGTTCAAGAATGAAGTACCTTCATTTAAAGAAATTCATCGAAATATCATTTAAAACAGTTGATAATTAAATGAAAGTGTGGCTCGTTTGTCATTTTTAATATTTTGAATTACTTCACCTTTAATATTTCTAGAGTATTTGTACTCGTAATAATTATATTCCTAACATCTAGAAGCGAATCAGTTCGGAAATATGATTCCCATATTGAATTGTATGTTACACTCTAAATGGTATTGGCTTATCAACTGCAATGAACTACTTGGTTTAATCCCATTGTGTATAAAATCATCAAGTGAAAAATTCAAATGTGCTACAGGGTCGAACTAAAGAAATTTCAAATATATTCTGCATAATATAGAAGATATCATTTACATTTACATATACCATTTACAATAGTATTTTCACAAAGTTAAATAACATTGGGATAAGGGAGGCTGTCTGGTACTTGGGATTTCACAATGTTTGTCAAGTTACAGTTCACACCAAAAGCAGTCTTAGCACTAATATTGTACTTCAGTCATCCATCCACGAACATCGCACACCCCACCATAAAATGTTCAACTGAAATTGGCAACCCACACAAATAACAGATTTTTTCTTCTTCCCCTTTCAGTAAGTGTTCATGAGTACGCAAATGAATCATTATGACTTGTTGTTTGGGAATGTCTTTCGAAGGCTTGATGTCATGTTTAATTTCTTTTAATTTCATTTAAGATACTGTCCACATGGATGACCAGTAATTAGAAACCACAGTTTTCATATATACTTTCAGGCCAACATAATGTACTCCTTCTTGTTCTTGAATAGTTGGTTCATTGATGATTTCACGTGCGATTTTGTCTACTCTTTCATTGCCAGAAATCCCGACATGGGACGATACCCACATGAATTGTAGCCTTTTGGAAGCGCCTGTAATTGAGTGAGTATACTCTTTGATGATTCTTGTCAGCGGGTGATCAGTATATATTTTCCGTATACTTCGCAGGGAACTTAAATAGTCTGTTTAAATGGAGAATTTGATTGCTTGAAAGACTGCCAAAAGTTCACCACTTTGAACGCTGCATTATTGGAATATTTTAAAACCAATTGATGTATCCGGGCTCAAAAAGGCTGATGCTACTCCATCATTTGATTTGGAAGTATCTGTGTAGATGTGTGTGTATCCTTATACACAGAAGTGATTGTAGAGCAGACTGGGAGTGATTCCAGATTTATTGAATTTGTTGAGGTGTAAGTTACATGATGGCAGTGCAATGAGCCAGTGAGAGGTATCTGAGGTTTCGTTGGAGAGGGTTATTGGGAAGGCAACGTTCAACAGTGAAATAAATTTAGTTTGATCATTGAACAGTGTAGTCAACTATTGTCAAACCCATGGGAAAAACGTAACAGTACGTTTTACAATGACGTGTAGATCATGCGCAGATTTCCCTACACATACAAACTGAAAGAACAATAAATTACACTAAAATCCATTTTTTTATTTAGTTATTACTTCAAATATTCGAATGTATAAGAAAATTAGTCATTTTTTCCGTGAAGTGGCTGAGAACGGTGCTGAGAAGGAGGTAAGTACACCAGGAATTGGATAGATTTCCATTGAGTGGAATTTCATATCAATATCTTGTCATTCACTGAGTTTTGCAGCCGTCTTTCGAATGATATATCTTTCTATTTCATTACTAATGTTTGGAGTACTAACTCAATGAAAAAATTATATTTTCGCCAAATTCAATGTTCACATGAGGTCGGACTTTTTTTCCAGTTCGTGTTGAAAAGAAACTTGTGTGCGTAAACAAGAGAATTTTGTGAAAAGTTTAATTGCATAGATTTTATTCTTATTAAATAATAGAAAAAAGTTGGAAACCAAAAAGTTTTTTCTTGAATACTGATATTTTCTAAAATTATTTCCTTTCCAATGTTCATGTTCAACACATTCACAATCATTACAGAACCAGATTATCAAAGAATGTGCCAACCAATTTCAATAGCACGCTATGAAATCACGACTACGCGGCTAATAGACACTTCAAAACAAAGAAAATCCCATCAGATACCTATCTCGTGCGTTGATTCTTTTATATCACAGTCGGGATTAGCGTGATACTTGGATACAGAATTTAATTACATACTAGATTAGCACGTATGGCCTATAACAGGCTTACGTGATTGTTATATATGTTGGGGCGTAGAGCAGTCAGTGCTAGCACTACCAGTCACCCTCAACGCGGGGCTGAAACTCGGCTAGACAGTAATGAATAGCCCCGGCCTGATGAGCTCAAATCTAACGGGCGTCGCAAAACGGTGCACATTAATCAGTATAGCCTTGACTTTGTTCGTAGTTCTGAGAGCAACTACAAATTTCATTAGAGAACGCAGTAGAATTCTAAGGGAAGAATATTTACAGTACAGTCAGGTATTATTGTGAATCTCTTTCCTTGGTATGGATCCGCTTCCTTCCTTTTTACACTCATTTGCTTGAAGTGTCAACTCGTTTATCTTCTATTGATTGTCGAGTAGATTTGATCCTTTCGTATTCACGGACGTGGTGTATATCAGAATTCGAATTTTTGTTTTCACTTTGTGTAGTTAGTGAACAATTTTCAACTGGTGTATAGAATGATGAAATGGAATACGTATCTCCAAAAATTCTTTATTTTTGAAAATCTCATTTAAATTTCTGACCGCTTTTCAAACCTCCTAACCGATAAATCAACTCCTCCAAAATTTTGGAATTGTACAAGAGGTTAAATAAGATTTTCTTTCAGAGGTACTTCAAATCTCTTCTGTTCGAATATTTCAAAAACTTGAGATTTATTGAAATTTTTATCCAAACTGTTGATGATTAAAGGGACGACTGTTTCGTACTGTTGCTTTGTTTCATTAGTGAAGTAAATTCACCTACGTCTACGCCTATATTTTCCCAATGATTTTTTTTCAGCTTTGAAAAAAGACATTTTGAAACTAGAACTTTTCTTTTGGTGGGGTTTCCTGACTTTGTATATTGTAACACTACTTGAACTAACAGACTGGCATCCCACCGATAGCATTATCCTGAAGTATGTGTATCCATGTCTGAAGGATGTACGACTCTGAGGTCAACAGGGTCACCAACAGATCCTTCGAGATACCGGGCGCTCTGTTGGCATAGTCTTATCTCGGTCATACAAAGTTTTGCCGAGATGGATCTTCTTTCCTTATCTGCTCGTGGGACCCTTTATGGACCCTAAGTATTTAGTCTAAGGACCAGAGTCCTGATACTGTTAACAAACCCAGAAGGATAGGTGGTGTCGCCAGCCTGAGGAGCAGAATATTTTATGTATCTTGAAGAATGGGAAATTAAACTTACTTTATTTTTATAGCACTCGTATTTGTAACTCACAATACTACAGTTTCATCATACAAGAACATTTTCAAAAGAATACAAAGAACTTTATTGTATTCGCTACAAAGAACTTTATTGTATTCGTTTGAAAATGTCCGTGTAGGACAAAATTTGCAGTGAAGTTAGTTGAAAATATAAGTGGTATTCCTTCTTATGTTTTTATACCACTTATATTTGTAGTTAACATTACTGCAGTTTCGTTCAACAAGGACATTTTCAAACGAACACAATAAACTTTATTGTATTTTTTCAAGTGGTATAAATGGTATAAAAATAAAGGAATTTTCATTTCTCATTTTTCTTAATGATCTTCTACCACCTGGTAACGACTACATTCATCAATGTATTTTATGTCTTTTTCTCGCGAAAGTGTGCGGCGAAAGCAGAATTTGTATTAGGAGAGGCAACAAATTCCTACTGTGCAGGTCTGCAAACGCAGACTACTGAGAAGCGAAAAAGTCATGTAGGGCTGAATCTAATTCATCGTTAGGTATTT